CGAGTGGGAAATGTTTTACAAATGCTGCCTGTCAGAAGGGAGGAGACCATCCCCCGGAGGTTTCAATCACCCCCTCCAAACCCGGCCCACCCCGACTCCCGCCATCCTTCTATCCTGCCATCAGCAGAGGTGCTAATGAGCGCCAGAGGGGTGGGGGCGAGCGGAGACGAGTGGAGCAGGTCGGTGCAAATGAGGTGATCAAGTCATGTTGTTCTGTGTGTTTGGATAATCCGTCACAAAACACTGAGGGAACGCGGCAGGTCCTGACACCAGCGGCATTATCAGGGCTGGGAGATACCAGGGGTGAAAGAGCGACCGCAGGCGAGTGACCAGAGGTGCCCTGTGAACACACTCCAGCTCACCTGTGATGTCCGCCGGGTTCCAGTCAGTGCTAATATTAGGATGTTTCTTCAATAAACACAAGTGTCCAGTGCCAAGTAGCTGTAAAGAAAGAGAGTCTGTTCACGGCCACGCCAAACACAGCAGTCACTTCTGGAAAAGCACACGCCCACTTATTACCTCTGTGGATCCGTCTGTGAGGGCAATGCAGGCTGTATACCCGGAGCAGTGGTTCTCAAAATGCGGTGTATGAATTGGGAATTGGCACTGTTGCAATTCGTACTGAAGCATTGTTTTATCACCAGGTCAAAAGAAAGAGACCAAAAGCTTGTGTTGCCTTTCAAATCTCGTCTCGGACTGTTTCAAGTCTGTTTCAAGAAGACCCACTTTCAGTCTCTGGCTTTCAACATTGCATGAGTCGTGTGGTTCTCTGTGTGTTTTTTATTTTATCAATTTTATATATGTGTGTATTTTAGTTATGTGTTACTATTTTTGCTCGTTGTACAGCACTTTGGAAATGGCTTGTTTATAAAATGTGCTATGAATAAAGTGGATTGGATTGTAAATGTTGTAGTAATTCCCCACAGAAAGAGTTTCGTAAAAGTAAAAGGCCCAACTAGGGACGGACATTGAGAATTAGCTTTGGCTAAAATGTTGTAGTATGTAACATGAGCTTATGTGACATACTTGTCCCTATTCAAATAAACTTAAATAATAATAATAAATAATAAAATGTTGTGAACAAATCAGAATCTTTATGTTGTTAAAAAGCATGTCGTAAAATCTGATCTGAAGATACAGACGTTGAAAATACATGAATGTGAAAACTAGTGAAAGAACCAAACTGTTTTGAGATCAAGGAACTACATAAAAACTACATATACTCCCAAATACTACATGTACTCCCAAAAACTACATATACTCCCAAAAACTACATATACTCCCATATACTACATATACTCCCAAAAACTACATATACTCCCAAAAACTACATATACTACCAAATACTACATATACTCCCAAATACTACATGTACTCCCAAAAACTACATATACTCCCAAATACTACATGTACTCCCAAAAACTGCATATACTCCCAAATACTACATGTACTCCCAAATACTACATATACTCCCGAATACTACATATACTCCCAAATACTACATGTCCTCCCAAAAACTACATATACTCCCAAATACTACATGTACTCCCAAAAACTACATATACTTCCAAATACTACATGTACTCCCAAAAAATACATATACTCTCAAATACTACATGTACTCCCAAAAACTGCATATACTCCCAAATACTACATGTACTCCCAAAAATTCAAATCTCGTCTCGGACTGTTTCAAGTCTGTTTCAAGAAGACCCACTTTCAGTCTCTGGCTTTCAACATTGCATGAGTCGTGTGGTTCTCTGTGTGTTTTTTATTTTATCAATTTTATATATGTGTGTATTTTAGTTATGTGTTACTATTTTTGCTCGTTGTACAGCACTTTGGAAATGGCTTGTTTATAAAATGTGCTATGAATAAAGTGGATTGGATTGTAAATGTTGTAGTAATTCCCCACAGAAAGAGTTTCGTAAAAGTAAAATGTTGTGAACAAATCAGAAACTTTATGTTGTTAAAAAGCATGTCGTAAAATCTGATCTGAAGATACAGACGTTGAAAATACATGAATGTGAAAACTAGTGAAAGAACCAAACTGTTTTGAGATCAAGGAACTAGTTAGACAGATAAAAATAGATATTTCACTCTTTTGTGGTTTGAAAATTAACAAACCGAGCCTAAAATGATCCAAGAACTTCATATAATAATAATAAAAGTATAATATAATCATGACAGTATAATAAGTTTTCAATCAAATCCTTTTTTCATGGTGGCAAAATTAAAGGTGCAGTAAGTGATGTTGTTAGCTTAGCCGTTAGCACCAACTGGAAACCACTCCCCCCTCCCCTCCCTCTCCACCAAACCAAACATCCAGCATTTTCTTTTCTTTGTCACAGGGAGAGTGGAGCAAACGTGAAACTGGCATTTTCTGTTCAGCCATTTCAGGTTTTAGAAAATCTGTTAACTCCGGTGCACTCGGGAGAAACAGGAAGAGGGTGAAGGGGGTAAACACATCCCATTGGTTTGTTGGGAATGAACGAATCCCATTGGTTTCATTTCATTGGTCCGCTTTAAAATATTTCTTATTAATTCTTGTAGACTATAGACATCTGGTCAATTCCATTACTATTTGAAAACACATAACTTCTCCCTCCTGTTGCTGCTATTGTTATGGTTATTATTATGATTATTGATGGCGGTAACGGTATTAGTAGTATCAATATTATTATTACTATTAATTGTATTATTTTTATGTTTTTATTTTGCAAAATTGTAAGCAATGCATATGCGCACACACACACTCGCACATCTACACAAAACAGCGCTCACTGTCCCCGTCTATATTCTATGTATTCTTGTATGTCTTGTACGGTGTGTGTTTGTCATTTACCCGTTTGTTTTGAATTTTGTATTGTATCTTTGTCGGAATTAATAAATAAATTTAAAAAAAGAAAACACATGATAACTTGATATTTTTAGGGTTTAGGGACGTTTTCCCACAATATTTAAAAAAATGCATCTGGAAAAAATCACTGACTGCTTCTTTAAGTCAAAAAAGGGGAAAAATGTGTAGTATAAAAAATATTATCCATCCACCATCCATCTTCTTCCGCTTCATCCGTTGCTGGGTCGCGGCAGTCTAAGCAGAGATGCCCAGACTTCTCTCTCCACACACACTTCCTCAGGCTCATCCGGGGGGAAAAAAACATTTAACCACATTTAATTCTTCTTTTTAGTAACAATTATTCCTTTTGATTTCCTTCTACAGTGGGAGTCGATTTTATTCATATATTTCGATGTTTGTGGCCAGGAAAGTTTGGGAACCCCTGCACTAGATACACACCTGAACCACACAAGGCCCAGTTCTTGGTCTAGTTTTATCCTCGATTAACAATGATTTAACTCCAACTTTGTTCTTTTTTTTTTTATTTATATTTTATTGGTATTCTTTTGCAGTCATACATTAATCAATAAGCGTTTTACAGATTCAGATTCAGATTCATTTATTTGCCATTTGCAGTAAAACCACATTGGAAAAACTGTGCAAGACTACCCCGGTGTGCACCACACACACCAGAGCACCAGACAGTATGACCACAATACAAAAATTAAAAATAAATAAGATGCAATGAGCAGAGAAATGAAGCCATAAATAAATATAAAGTTAATCATAAAAAATACATAAAATAAATAAAGAAAAAAAGGAAAAAAAAATAAAAATAAATTAAATAAAAATAAAAAACAAGGAAAAAAAACACAAAAATACCTAATATATAATAAAAAAATAATAATAAAGAAGGAAGTGGGGCTACACAATTACTTCAAAGATGGGAACATTGAGTGGGAACAGTTACTCCAACTTCGTTCTTAATTTATAGCTCTTTTTAGGGTCTGTTAACGATGGTATTAACAACCGTTTCTGCTGGTGGTAGATTGATTTGCAAAGTTTGAAAACATTTCACCTTCAGCGATGCAATAAATTTAAACCAATAAGCCCCAACCCTAATATAATCCGTCCAAATAAAGTCGTCTTGCTTGTAACTGTGGCTGCTTTGGCCCCACATTTCTACATATTTGTGAGGTGATGTAGCGATTCATTTACAGGAACTGATATGGACCATAACCACAGAGGACAAGATAGAATTACCTGACACCGGGGTTTTATTTCACTATTTATTCTTCTGCAACCGCGACACACAGGCAAAAGTGGCATTGGCTTTCCCTGCTCTGCTTGTCACGCACATTTGTGGCTCTACTGCATTACCGTATCTGCCTTATACTTGCTGCTGCTCCAAAACAGAGGCAAGGGAATGTGGCAAGAGTAATACTGACAATCATTTTGAATAATGCATCCAAATCCCTCATGGGCATAAACAATGTTGTGGCAATTAGCTCCCCAGTTGCCAGAAGATTAAACACAGTCAATTACATTTTTCACAGTTAGCAATGCTTTGGAGGATTCCCGGGAAAAGGGGGAAAAAAAAAAGATGGTGCGCTAGATGTTGAAGCTCGGAGTTTACGAAATATGTACAAGCTGGAGTCAGGCAGTGTAAACAATGTGGAATAGGAAGCAAACAATACAGGGAAGGCTGAAGAAATGTAATGCAAATAATAATAATAATAATAATGCATACGTTTTATATCACGCATTTTCTTTCACTCCAAACACGGTGGTGATAAAATCCTACTATGCCACAGCTGCCCTGGGGCAAACTGACAAGTGCGAGGCAACCAGTCTGTGCCATCAGCCCCTCCCACCACCACCAACCACTCACACACACACCAGACTCATTCTAATGTGGGGGAAGTGTCTTGCCTAAGAACACAACCACAGTTTAAGACTTTACAGCCGCAGCCGCCCCACTGTGGCACCTGCTGTTCCCAGAGGTCTCCCATCACAATACTAACCAGGCCCTGCCCTGCATAGCTTCAGAGATATGCAGGATCTGGCATGGCCACAACATGTGCAGGTAAAACTCACAAAAATGATGAAAAGTCCATTTACTCCAAGCTTTTATTTAGTTGTAATGTTGATAATTATTTACCTTGGATAGATGCCGCTGACCATGTCCTGTGGCTGAGGATCTGAGGAGGCTTGGCTCGCTCCGGCTGCTTTGGAAATCAACAACACCACCAGCCCTCTCATCTGGAGGTTGTTCCGGCTGTCGTAAACAAAGCCCCTGCGCAAGGACAAAAACAGAGAAAAGAAAAAAATACAATAATTATGTAGAACTCGCGGGAAAATGGCAGATCAATAAAACGGCAAGAAGAGACAAGTATATTGGGGTTGTACGCCAAGCTGCAAGAGAATGCTTTGTACAAGTTTATTAATTAAGGTTTAACGCATTTATGGTTAATGAGGAGAATGACAAGTAACCACTACTACAGATACAGTATATTCAAAGTTATTAATTGTTGAATACCTCTATGAGTACGATCAGTAACGAATATCATAGTGAGGACAAGACTAAAGCATGGAAAATATTTTGGTATATATAATTTTATCTTTTTATTTGATCCGGAACAACGCACAACTGACATAGTCTATGACAGAAGAGATGCCATGTGCCCGGTTATAGCACTAGATCATAGTGTCCACCGGTAATCCCTGGATAGATTTATGTTACACTTAAGAAAGTACAAGAAAACATGAAAATCAGAAACATAGAAATTCTGTAAAAAGCATTCCCACTACACTGCATTGAGTTGCATTAACTATAGTTTGTAGTGAAGAGACAGAAAAGAAGCTGTTAGACTTTGTGAGGGCAAAAGCATGAAAACCCCAAGAGACACTGATTTGAAAATGATAGAGAGAGTTAGTTTACGACAAAAATCCACCAAGTAACAATTTTAATTGACAACATTCAGGGCACTCTGACTGCAATGACTTGTGCATACACAATTTGGTTTGGTGATGCATCTAATTATGATTGGACGAGGAAAACAAAACCACAAAGTTTGTTCTAAATGAGGGCACATCGGCACAAAAAACAAACAAAACATGGACATAATTGATCCATTTTTGCAGCTGAACAGTATTTTGCCTCATAGTGAGGATGGGTGCTCCCGCCCTCTTTTGACACATTCACACACAGACTGTGGTGCTAGCGGCTGCATGGTGGGCAGATTAAATGTCTTTTTAGTGTCTCTGGGGAGCAGTTAGACAGAGCACCTCTAATCCTGTCCCTATGGGAGCCCCTTGTGCCATGAATCACACTCTCGTTAGGGGCTCCAGGCAGACAGGCAGCCACGCCCCCTCCGCTCGATGCCCAGACACCAGCATCACCCTCCAGCAGCAGCATCACTGACCCACCCCTGCATCCGCACAGAAGGGGAGGGACCAGCTCTGGTGGAGGAGATAACAGGGAAAGGACAGACAATATCCGCTCTTACATTAAAGCTATTTAAACACTGTGCATACATTCCTAAAGAGAAGAATAATAAATAGTGTCCATAAACTGCATCATTAACGTGCAACAAGAAGCTCCTCATTAACTGTGAACTGTAGTTCTCCACTCTCCAACCTGAACACAAACTAATTCAACAAGGGACCACTTTCTACAAAAGGACCATGCAGTTCTGTTCCATAAAAAAGCTTGTGTGTTTTAATACCTTTGGATTAACACAAAAGAAAGGATTTTTGACATGAACTAAATCATTACATCATTGTATGTTGTATGTCACAGCACCAGCCCCTCACTGATCCTCCTGCAGCTGCTGAGTCCACAGGAGCCTTGATCTTTCAGCGGGGGCTTCAGGCAAAGTGGGGTTAAGTGTCCCAAGAACACAACCATAACGACAGCAGTCATCAGTGGAGTAGGTCTTATGGTGGGCTCGAACCCACGGCCTTCCAGCTCAAAGGCCAATGCTCTACTGAGTCACTATCGCCCCCAACATCTCTTTATTTTACTAATTTTGACTAATTACTTCCTTATTTTAAAACCACAGAAAAGGACAAGTTACAGAAATCTTACTTCAGCTTTAATGAGCAACGCATACATTTACTGTACGCTCTTGGTTCAAATACAAAACATGTATCTATTGTTCTGTGCTGGCAGTAAGGCCTCTGAGAGATGGGCAACATGTGTTTAGTATTCTAGCTTAAAACAGATTGTTTAAAATTGGACTTGATGATTTAAGAGAGAGGAGAAAGTCTTGAGCTACAAATATCAAATGTTTGTTTAAAATCTGAAGTAGATATTCTTTGTTTAATGAGAGCACTGCCAGGTGGAGAGGGTTGTTGTTTTTTCTTGAATATGTGCCAGTGCGGGCAGGTCCCGGCTCAAAAAGTTACTCCTTGCCGGTGGGGGTGTACCAGGAAACAGAATTACCCAATGCTTTTGTATGGCGCCTTCTTTCCTCTTGAAAACCTCTTTACAGGATGGTCCAAAAGTCACTCTTGGTTCAACACTACGTTCCAGATGCTGTCAATGCTGAGGGGAGTATACATTTTTGGACCACTCTAGTTTAGCCGCTGTGGACTTTTGAATGTACTCGTTAACGCATGTGTTTTTTCACATCTTCGTCAACAAAAGGCAAAAGTGGTGGCACATTAGTTTCAACGGCGGAGATAGGTGTGACTAGATTTGTTAATGTACAACCTCCACAACTTTCTGCAAGTCTTTAAATGTTGTTACGTTAACAGTAACATTTTTTGACCTTCTCTTTCTGTTGGGAAAGTTACACAATGTTGCTTTTAAGGTAAAAAACAGAAAAAACTGTATAATAACTTTTTTTTTTTACTTGGAGTGAGTCTAAAAGGAACTCTTCCCCTGTGGCTGTTCCCTTCTGAAAATCCAAACCCATCGCATAAAACATCTTCGCCCCAAAATTTACGATTACATCTGACATTAGACAGGGCCATGTTTCATCTCGGTACCTGACTTTTATTTATGGCCGTTCCCGGGTTTTTACTGAGTTGGAGCGCGGTGAATAGACCTGCAATCGTACGGCCCGTTGAACAGAAAACGACCACAGTGCAGAATTATGAACCCCTCTCTCCTCCCTCTCTTCTCTTCTCTCTGGGAGTTGGGGCAAAGCTTGTGGCCTGCCCGTGGAACTTGATTAATATTTATGTCACTATCCACACCGGTATACATCAATCAATCACAAACGCCCTCCCGTGAAGGGGTGGGGCAGGGGGGAGAGAGATAGCGGGGAGTAGAGGAATGGCCGGCTGTCATTGGGAAAGGGTTGTGCACAGTTCACCACACCTTCTGCACGGCAACTACGGCCGAGCAAATCAGGGAACTCCGGAGTCTAGCCTCGGTGTGGATGGATGTAAGAAAATGTATGTCCAGCGTAGTATTGATTGGCTGTCTGGATACTGTTTAGAGTGATGAATGCAAGAAGAGGAGATTCATTTCTCTCAAAGCAGTGTTTACGTTATTTAAGAATGAGGATATATACATTTCTTTTACATGGCCCGTCATTCAACAGCTTAGCACTGTTCTAATAACTTTGCATTTTGTCACAAATCTTTGGGAAGTGTAGCCTGGTCTTACCATATCATTGTACTCCTTTCATTCAGTACTAAGGTCTTTTGCAGATTGAAACGATTGGATCTGAGTTTACCGTGATTTTAACGTGAAATTACCGTGATTGATTGGACGTATGTAATGTGCCTGAGTGAGCCATTTAGCCTAGCTTTAGCATTTAGTCTAGCTTTAGCCATGTCCTTTGCTACAAACGGAGCCTGTGGGGAGAAGAGCCACAAAATCTTTGCAGCAATGACATTTTGCTAAACATTCTTCTTGCACTGGCTTCAATTTCTTTATATTTGGAGCCGAACCAGAACTGATTACTTTATTATTGCATTCATCGCCATTGTCAAACTACAACCAGCCAATTCAGCGCAAACTATTGATGTCACTGACACAGACCTACAACACCCGCCTCCCCCGCTCTCTGATTGGTCGGAGGAGATTCAACCGAGGAAACTGCAGCCAGACGTACAGTACATGTAGGAAATGATCATGGACCAGAGTTTACACATGGTAAGACCAGACGTACATGTAGGAAATGATCATGGACCAGAGTTTACACATGGTAAGACCAGACGTACATGTAGGAAATGATCATGACCCAGAGTTTACAAAAGACTAAGGCCAGGCTAGGGGAAGGGATGCTACATGTTTTACCCCTCATGTTTCACTGTATGGCATTCATGTGAAAGCCTGATCTTGTCAAACTTCAGAAGCTGAGCAGGGCAAGGCATGGTTAGTACTGTGGGCGGCACGGTGGCTGAGTGGATAGCACTCTCGCCTCTCAGCAAGAAGGTCCTGGGTTCAAATCCCGGTTGGACCAGGGCCTTTCTGAGTGGAGTTTGCATGTTCTCCCAGTGTCTGTGTAGGTTTCCTCTGGGTGCTCCGGTTTCCCCTACCACTAAAAATATGTACAGTAGGTCTGGCATGTGCCTCCTGTACTGGCACCCCCCACTCCCAAAAAATAACAATTGTAAACCGCTTTGAGACTCCGATGTGCAGTGAAAAGGCAGTATATAAATAAAGATTACTACTAAAGATTACTACTGTGACATTGCCTCAGTGTCTGGGTGTGAGGGAATGAATGGTGGCGGTTCGAGGGGCCGGTGCAGGGCAGCTGTGGCTCCTGTAGTAGTACACCACTACTGTGTGCAGGGTGAAGCATCTGAGTGTCCAAAAGAAAATGATTTAATCCATCTTTCTGAAGCAGGTGATGTAATTAGGCCAAATAACAAGGCAAATTACCACCTCTTAAGTACGACCCTATGTGTTTGTGCCGCAAAAAACTAAACCTAAATTGAACAAAATGTAAAATTACACACCCACTATTTGCACACACATAAATCCTTTGCCAATGACATGAACTTCGATTCTATTGAGACGCAATAGGTGTATTCAACATCACGAATTACTTAAGAAAAAGTCAAATTATATGGGGTAAACAAGATGAAAACTTTCTTAACAATGTCAAAGAGAAATGAGTTGATTGTTGCAAAAACCCGTGTACAGTACACTCACCAAAGGAATGTCTATCTAATGCGTCATTTCAGTGGAATTTAATGAATGGCTTTTTAAATCATTCAGGTCTATCGTATGAAAGGCCGGGCTGCAAGCGGCGAAAATGCAAGAAAGCTGTTGAACTTCCAAGGACTGTCCTCAGAGAAAGTAAAGTTCTCTCTCGGTCTGCAGTCGTCGCT